AAAAAAAAAAATTAAAAAAAGGAAAAAAACAAACAAACAAAAAGATTAGAGCCTTGAAAACTCTGTCAGTTACTTCTCCTCTGTCCCTATCAGTTCCCACCAATCAGAATCAACTTGACAACAATGGGTATTGCTCTCTAAATATTTTTTGTTTTCTTTTCAATGGATAGTAACCCATTTGTGTCCATGCTTTATGTTTTATATTTTTTAAATTATTCTGACTTCTTTTCTGTCGTTTTTTTCTTTACTAGAGTTCTCTATACTTGCAGTGTGTAGTTGCCTTTACTTTTGGTTAAGACATTTAGCTCCTATTTGTCGTCATTATTTACACAATGTATTCATTTCTCATTCAACAGTTATTACATAGATTTTCACATGACATTGATGCCTATCCTTGCGATGTTTTTGTCCTTTCTCCTCACCATCACCCCTATTTCTGCTCTGCTTTACCCATTTCAAGCCTTCCATTTCTCTACCCTTCCTTCTCTTTTTATCTTTGCTTTTGGGTAAAGTTACCCATTTGGCCATATAAAGTTGGTTGTTGGAAGGAGTACATTCCTTTTTTGGGTTTTATTGTTGTTTTTGTGTACTGTAGAGTTATAACTAACCCATAGTTGACCCTACTTTGGACTTTTATAGATAGTATATCACACAGAAGTTGATTGCCCATCTTTCTCCCATGGTGCAGCTGGTGGATTTGAACCATGTGCTTTTGTGTTGAATTCCTTACCACTAGACCATCAGAGCTATTTATTGTTTATAGGCCAATCCATTGTTAAAAGTTGACCTCTGGATATGGCTTCAGCTTCTGGTTATGGCTTCAATTCTAAGTTAGAGTTAGTCTCAAGGATTCCTCCAGTCTTTAGCAACCTGTAATTCTGGTCATTTTTTTTTAGGAATTTAAGTAGGACCTTTTATCTGCTCAGAATAGTTGTTGATCACAGCCAGACACCATCTAGTTACTAGAAGTTGATGATATGTTCTAGGACCATCAAAATGTCCCTAGTCCTGCCAGCTTTTTCATTTTTTTAACTTATGTCCTGTGGCTTTTTCTTAGCTCTATGAATGTTGTTTTAGGATTTTGGCAGTTGCTGTTCCGTATTAGGGGGTGCATAAGCTTTTCCTTGCCTACTATTTAGCTTTGCCAACAGTACAGAATACTGTTTGTTGTCCAGAGGAAAAGGTATTACATATTTGGCTTTGGACCTTGTAGAAGTAAACAGCTCTGCAGTGTGATTCTGAGAAGACCAGTTTTCTCTCACAGCCATAGAATAAAGTGATTGGATTTGCTTCACAGTGCTTTTTTCAATCTATTTAAAGGTTTTAAACACTTCTTAACTTCAAAATAATTTTTAACTCTTATACTACTGTACTTTTAATGCCTGTTGATAAGTAAAGTTTACAATTAGAAAAAACTATCATAAATTCTGTTGTACATTTAAAAGTATAATCACTGATGGAATTTACAGTGTGTTGGATTTAGAAGCTATCATCTGTTAGTTTAGTATTAATTAGCTACTACTATGTGTACACATATCTACCAAGACTTGAAAACTGTTTTGGACCTCCCCAGTGACAGCAGTCTGTTGGTCAAGAATTTCTGATCTCCTTATTCTTTATAATCTCTTTTCTACTTTATATGGTTTTAACTTCTCTCTTGCCCTTTTATGTCTCCCTTCATTTGTAAAGTTCCAATTCAGAAGAATGTGTTATATTAGGGGACACAATTGTATGTTTTTTCTTTTAGGGAAAGTAAAGACCACTTACTGGATTTTTAATGGATCAGTTTCCAATAACCCTATTACTGATTTATCTCTTAGTGCTCAGCTTCCAATTCCAGCAAGATATAAAAGCCTTCATAGGCTTTCGTTCTGGCTTGTGAAACTCCCCCTGACCCACTTGAAAGCCCATGTGTTGTCTTAACTTTGGTTCCAGCTTCAGTTTGAGGATAATCTCATTGATTTGAAGATAATCAAAAGGGAGAATTCAGAAAATTCTCCAATCAAACTCTCAAAGGTTCATTTGTTTTGTGGAGTTGCTTAGGCAGCTAATTAACTGCTCAGTCCAGCCGGTGCCCTTTGGCTTCTTGTTCCTTTAATGCATTGGAAACCAAGCCATGTGAGGCCATTTTTTCCTCGTCTCTTGTGGAAAGCAGTGAAGTGTGGTAGAATGAGCAAAGTCTTCAAAACCAGTTAGATCTACCTTGAGATCTGCCTCAACCACTTAATAACAATTGTGGGACCTTGGGAATTTTACTTTGCCTCTCTGGTTATTTTATTTTTCTGTAAAACAAAGCTAATAGTATCTCTTGGAGGATTGAAAAGGTATACATTTTTTTTTTTTGCTGCTGCTACTATTGTTCGTTTCCATCACTTGGCTCCACTTAGAGTTTCCTTATATATAGCAGGATGAAATACAATCTGATTTTGTGCTACCTTCATGATCTTTGATATGTTTGAACCCTTTATTATGACAATTATGTTGATCCATCTCATTGAGGTTTTTCTTCATTTTTGCTGATGTTCTGTTTTACTAGACATAATGTCCTTTACTAGGGATGATTTTCTTTTCTGATGATGTAACCAAAGTAACCATGATGAACTTTTTACCATTCTTAAATGAATGATTATTATTAGTATTGCTTTGGAGTTTATAAATACTTGTATGTAATTTTCATCCAAATTCTTAAAGAGTCTACTAGAGTACCTTGGGATGGATAGGATAGGAATAGAGTAGAAGAACTTAATAATCCTTAAAGAAAAAAAAAACTATTTTTTTTAACTTGAATTACCTAACTTCTGGTAGTCTTCATTATTGTCATTTTTTCAGTCTCAAAAAGAAGAGACTGTCCAGTTTTTCTTTGGTAATTTTTCTTTCACTTAACACTGATTTTTTCCTTATCAAGGAACTAAACATGTTTATTATAAGGTTCTTTAAAAGAGTGAAAGTAAAGGGATTTTTCCTCCCCTCTTCCTTGAAGAGCCCCTCAAATTAACATTTCACTGAATTTTTCCCATTTGGGGGAAAATTTACATACTCATATAAGATGCCCCAGAAGGTCTAAACTTGATTCCAAAATCAAATGCTGCAGGTGCCAAGAGACCACATTAGCTAGAGAAAAATCATTCTTCTTACTGTCAATATATGCTTGTAAAGCTGTGAGATTCTCCGTGAAGTGCAGTGTATCAATGTGTAATTCAAATTACTGAGCAGCTAGATGACTCATGTATGTGGATTCTTCTCCTAAGTGTAGGGGATATTTGTCTTCCAGGTGATTCTTACATGTAGTGTTTTTATTTTCTTCAGGGACAATGGTGATAGATCCAGGCACCGAGCTCCCCGCAACGCCCGAATGTCTGCACCTTCACTTGGGCGCTTTGTCCCCAGGTAAGAACTGGACAGTCTGCACAGAGGGAGCCTTTCTGAGAACCTAGAATGTAGTTTTCAAATGTAGTTTCTGGTCTTTGGATTGTCCATATCTGGTATAATTCCTTGGGAGCGTACAATCTAGTCTTGTCACCTAGAGACTTGGCAGGAGATAATTAGCCACAATAAAAAGATAGAAATGTGGCCTTAGGAGCAATCCTGTTTGAGAGTAAGCCCTGGGAAACCTTCCTTTAGAAGGAATGTCAGGAAGGAGATACAGATAGGACTTGTTCCTCTGTGTGGGTTACTGTGGATTCCTCAGATGCTCTGGGTCCCTTACCCCTGGTTTTTGAGAGTAGGTAAATAATATATCCCCTTTGGCTTATGGTAGTTTTAAGTAGGCTTTTCACATACGATTCCTTCTTGTAGGCGTTTCTTGCTGCCTGAGTACTTGCCTTATGCTGGGATTTTTCATGAACGTGGACAGCCTGGCTTGGCTACTCATTCTTCTGTTAACAGGGTCCTGGCAGGTAAGGAAATGTTTCTGTGGATGTTGAAAATATGAATGGGCAGAAAGCCAGATGAAACTTCCTCCTCCTTCTTTACCTGTGACGATGTGATGGCATCTTAACATCCTACTGAAAATTCTGCTTTTATTCCTATACTCGGTTCCTAACATCAGGCAGCAAAGTATTAGTTCGAAGAAAATGGTTTCTCTTCCCCATGCCCATTTCTTTAATTTTTTTTAAAGGATTTATTTAAACCAGCTGCATTTTAATCCAGCTGTTAGGTTCTGGCCATGCTTTTAATTGAATGATAAAGGTGGCTTGTTTCAGTTGGGGAGATAATCATGATGTAGAGCCTATGATTTAATTAGGAGCTTAATGCACACTTCTTGAACCCTTTGTGACAACCAACACTGTGGAGTCTTCTGAGAAAGGAGGAGAGGAGCAAGAGACCCAGGGAACTGGTTCAAAAACCTCCAGAGTACAGAAAATGGGCCAGGAAAGCCCTGCTGAGGCCTTTCATGGTGCCTGACTTGTTTAGTGGCCAGTGACTCTGAGACATCTTGTGACCAAGCTTTGAAGTAAGTAACACAAAATGTACTACTGCTTAGGGAAATCTCTAGAGAAAGGAAAAAAAGTATAGTTCGATTTTTTTTCTGGCAAGGATTATTTCCCCACCACATTCTAGAAACTGCCAACTTGTAAATTTATGTATGTTAAGGCATACAAATCAAACCATATTGAGATGTTTCTTTAATAAACACCTTTATTTAAAATTGTGTTCTGTTTTGGAAAATCTGGCTCATTTGGTACATAAGGTTTCTATGGCAGGCCTTGGCACTCTAGCCCAGGCCTGATGGCAAAGCAGAATATCCTGTCTATTGACAAACCTTTTCTGAGGAGGACCCTTGGTAAACAAGCTGTCATGCTCCCATGCCTCACCTTGCCAGCTGCTTCTGTGTTGATTGCCTGATGATTTGTAGAAGGTTGCTCTCAGGCAACACTACAAAGATTTTCATCTTACTTTGTTTTAGACATCTACCTCCATTTGTATCCTTGCATCCTCAGTAGCATTACCTCCTCCTCTGCTGCAGGCACATGTCTCTTTCTTTGGCTTTGAACTTTTTTAGATGGTTGTGTAGTGCTACCTCCTCATTGTCTTCAGTAGCTGTTTACGTTCAGTTTTTTATTCCACTTTTTATTATACCTGAGAGATCTGACTCCTGCTTAATTATGGGTATGTATAAGGGTTGTGTTCCACCAGGTAGTTGTTTACAAATGTAAAATCTAGTAAGAAAAACTCAATAGCAAAATAGTCGTAGGGAAAGGAAATCTAGACTCCCAAAAAGACCTTTATTTTTGAGTTAGAGTAACAAATAGTTTCCATTCACAATTGAATTCATTTTTCTCATTTTCTCAAGGTACATATTGCAAAACATTATTGGTTTTGATAACTCTAGTTGTTGTTGTTGTTGTTATGTACTGTCGAGTAACCTGTGACTCCTATCAACCCTGTGTACAACAGTTCTATACCCTACTCTATCCTGTACCAATCTTATTGTCTCTGACATACCTATCCCCATTACCCTAGTCAGTGAATCAATCCATCTCATCGAAGGTCTTCCTCTTCTGCGCTATCGCTCCACCCTCCCAAGCATGACATTCCTCTCTCCAAGGACTGGCCCTCCTTGCAACATGTCCAGAGTATGTCAGACGAAGCTTCAGAATCCTTGCTTCCAAGGAGTATCCTGGCTTCACCCTCTCCAGGCCAAAATAATTTGTAAATACTTGGTCCTCTTACCATATTCTGTTGTTAGTTGGTATTACTTTTTTCTTCAGAAAATGAGAAATTATTACCACTTACTGTTGTTAGGTGCCATCGAGTTGAGTACAACTCGTAGCGACCCTATGAACAGCCTGTTTTATCCTGTGCTATCTTCATTATATCTGACACACTGCACCCATTCATGCAGTCACTGTGTCAGTCCATCTGGTTTAGGGTCTGTTTTTCTTTTGCTGACCTTCTACCTTTCCAAATATGGTATCTTTTTCCAATGAGTAGCCTCTCCTAGCAAAATGCCCAAAGTATGTTAGATGAGGCTTTTATTGTCTTTGACTCCAAGAAGCACTCTGCCTGGGGAGCTCTGGTGGCCTAGTGGCAAGCTGCACATCAATCCCAGAGGTGCGCTTTTCAAATCCACCAGATGGTCTGCTGGAAGAGGAGGGACAGTTTGACAGTACCCACATACACACACACTAAATAATAATAATAATAATAAAATAAAGCACTTTGTCACACTTTCTCCAAGAGATAGCTGTTTGTTATTTTGACTACCCATGGAATATTCAGTGTTCTTCTCCATCACCACCACTCAAAGACATCACTTCTTCTGTCCTCCTTATTGACTGTCCAAGCTTTCAAGATGCATATTAAGTGATTGAAAAGACCATGGCACAAATCAGGAACACCTTAGTCTTTAAAATGACATTATTGCTCCTGTAGAAAAAGCAAAGGCCTTGTGGGAAGCTCTATAAAGGAGTTTTACTAACCTCACGGGGGAAACTATCCCTGCCTCAGTAATACAAAACCAATTCCAAAGAGGTCAGGTATGTCCCCCATGCTCCCATGCCTCTTTATACTCATCAGCACCAATCTTAGTGCTTGACAGGGTCCAAAATCCAATGTGACAGCTCACAGACCACACAGAACTATATTGGGGGAGATAAAGGATTATAATTGAGATTTTTAACAAAATACAGTCAAGACAGTTACCAGAATGTGCACCCAGGCACTTTAGCCTCATGGCTCAAACTGTTCCCAAGTTCTCAGTCCTGTCAATATTGGCTTCCCCTGTAATGGTCCAACAAAGTTCCCAGTCTCCTCACCCAAAAGTCTCATTTCACCTCCAGTTCTCCAGTTCAGCCTTTGCTGCTGCCACCATCGCAAACACGTTGAAGGATATCTCTCTTCCTCTTTTAGGCAAGGAATCTCTACGGGTGTGGAACTAATTTCTCATGTCTGCAGCTAGAGCTATTTAATTTATTGGCAAGACTAGTTAATCCTTTTGTGGATAGACCAACAATGCTTCGCACAATCCCACTCCACCACACGTTTTTTATTGGTGTTGTTAGTGCTATCCAGTCGCCTGTGACTCATACAACAGCTCAGAACCCTGCTCTATCCTGAGCCAATCTTATGTCTTTGACACACCTAACCCTATCACCCTTGTCCTAAAATCAGTCCATTTCATCAAGGGTCTTCCTATCTTCCACTGTCCTTCCATCCCCCCTAAGCTTGATGTCCCTCTCCAAGGACTAGTCATTCCTTGCAACATGCCCAAAGTATGTTAGATGATGCTTCAGAATCCTTGCCTAAAAAAAAAGACTCCAGGACAAACCTATTTGTTCTTCTAGTACTCCAGTACCACAGCTCAAAGGCATTGATGCTTCTGTCATCCCTAGTCATTGTCCAACTTTCTGATGCATAACACATAATTGCAGAGACTATGGCCTGGAGCACCTTAGTCTCCAGACTGACATCGTTGTTCTTCAGTACTCTGGAGATGTCCCTAACAGCAGACTTTTCTAATGCAATTTGTCTTTTGATTTCTTGGCTGCTGGTACCAGGAGTGTTGATTATGGAGCCAAGCAAACTAAAGCTGTTAAAAATCTCAATCTCTTTAGCATTTATTATGATGGTGCAAATCAGACCAGTGGAGGCCTAGTGGCAAGAAGCTGTGCTGTGATTCTGAAGGCACGCAGTTCAAGGCAGCTGCTCCTTGGGAGAAGGATGAGCAATTTCATCCCATGTGATTTACTGCCTCTGAAAACCCGCCAGAGGGTCAGATATGGGTCAGTTCTGACTCATCGGTAAACAGCAATATACTAGAATAGCCATATGGAGAGAAAAACTCCATAGCTCCTCAATAATTTGGAGTCATCTTTGACAGCAGACTTGTACAATACACCTCCTGAACTGCTGGTACCAATGGTGCTGATTATGAACCCAAGTAAGAGGAAATTGTTGATAATTTCAATCTTCTCTCTCCATCTAGCATGATTTTTCTTATCAGTCCCAGTGTTACCATTTGCTAAACTTGATTTATTGGAGATGGGTTGGCACAGTGACTGCAACAGTGACTTGAAGCAAGCAAAGAGTGAGAGAATGGTATAGGATCAGATAGTGTTGTGTTTTGTTGTTTGTACAGGTACTATGGGGATGGAGCTCCATGGAGCTAACAACAGCGTGTACTAGAGATTTGTTTTAAAGTAACCAAACTAAATTTAAATTAAATTAAATTTAAATTAAAAAATGAAACATTTAATTTTTTGTGGTAAACTTATTTTTTTTAATATTTTTTTTATTTTATTATTTTTGTGTGTGTGTACCGTCAAATCAGATCTGACTGGTACAGGAGGAGATTGCCCCTCCTTCCCCGGCAGAGGATCTGGTGGATTCGAACTGTGCACCTCTGGGATTGTAGTTGCAGCTTCTTGCCACTAGGCCACCAGAGCTCCCCTTGTGGTAAACTTATGAGATAAGTTATCCCATCTAAGTGGAGGAATAAAAAGCTCAAATTGCTAATGTGCCCAAAGTGATGGAGCTGTGAAATAAGTGAGCCAGAACTGTATTCAGGCAGTGAAACTCTACTACTTAACGCTCTGACCTTTCTAGTCAGCCTCCCCAAAACCATTTTAAAGGGAAAAAGAAGTTGAAATACCATTCTATTTTCTTAGACTTTAATCTAGGAGAGAGAAAGTGTTCCCAGGGCATTTAGATTACTTCATTCAGGGTTTTTCTTACTTGTTCATATTATATTTTGAGTGGTTTGTAGACAGAACTTTTTATGGCCCAATGATGCTTGCTGTAGAAACGCCATGCCCTCCTGGATACAGATGTTTTGTACTTTATTATACTTATTTGTAATAGAGCTAGTGTAAAAGTGGTTTACAAAATGAAAGATAGATTGGCCTTTTAGCAGTAAGCACTCCCAAGTTTTCCTGGAAAGGCAGTTTCTTTTGTA